ATGCAAGAATCATTACCTAGGTAAAGGGGGCTGAAACTTTTTTTTTTTTTTTTTAAGACCAGAACAATGAGGTAACATTGAGAAGCAGTTCAGGCAGATGCCTCCCTGATTCACAGGAGTTCAGGAAAGGGAAGGAGGTACAGGACAATCAGACTTTCAAGATTCCATTACTGTAGCCAATCTCAGTACAAATAGTTTTAGCCTTCCTGTGGAGTTAATTTCCAGGTCTGGTCTACCTAGTGGGGCTGACACTGATATTCTTAAAAAAAAAAAAAAAAAAAGTTTTTTTTTTAAATAAATAAAAACATCCCTCAACTAACTACAAAAAAATACCGAAAAAAAGAAAAAAAAAAAAAAAGTTTTTTTTTTAAATAAATAAAAACATCCCTCAACTAACTACAAAAAAATACCGAAAAAAAGAAAAAAAAAAAAAAAGTTTTTTTTTTAAATAAATAAAAACATCCCTCAACTAACTACAAAAAAATACCGAAAAAAAGAAAAAAAAAAAAAAAAGTTTTTTTTTTAAATACATACAAACATCCCTCAACTAACTACAAAAAAATACCGAAAAAAAGAAAAAAAAAGAAAAAAAACAGAAGAACATAACAAATAATAACAAGGAAAACAGAAAATAATTATAAACAAACTAGGGCCTTATATCAAGTACTAAACATTATGTTATTGTAATATATCATGAAATCTGTGCCAAAGGGAAACATTGCATCATCTTTCATTAATAGAAAATTCCTTTTAAAAAATGGATAGATTACACGTGTCTTGAATTCAGACCTTAAAATCTGGAGTAATAAAGTTTTTCCAATTTATCAAAATAATTCTCTTACCAGCTCCTCATATTTGTTGTAACCAAAGTTCCTCAAAAGCAGTTGAACTCCATATTTTGGAGCATAATTCAATATAAAATTAACACCTTTAATAGGTAAAGCATCTGGTTCATATGTGAACTGAGTATATTGTCACTGTTGTGAATTAGGCAAGTGAAATTCTATTTGAATTCAAGAGAATTCTTTAAATCTTCTCTGATATTCTGGAAAACTGCTTTTGATAGTAGCATTTTCCAAATGGAGGTTCTCCCAATGCATGGGAGGATAAATCCTGTTATCCTAATAATTAGTGATGATGTGGGTTGCAGGGGGGTGCTTAAATTAGGGAACATTAATGTAGACAAAATTGAATTAGACCAATATAATGCAAGCAAATGTATTCAATTCCAGGCTACCACAAGGAGAGATTGACACACACAAACACACTTGATTTGTAGTGTTCTTATTTGCCTCAAGGCTTACTGGCTCAGAAGCTAAAACCCCAAACCTCAAAATTTCCTCCTCAATCTTACATTCTCCAGATGTGTTTGGCTTACCTTTGGCTGCAGTCCAAATTCTGGAAGTGATACTCCCAAGTAGTTCCTGAGGCATTCTGGAAGTGATAGCACCAACATATCTGAAGGATAAGGGAGAGCTACCTATATGTGTTTTCATGCTTTTTCTCTTGCGACAAAGAGAAGTTAGGGTAGCTACAGGCAAAGGACATGATTGTGCAATGAAAGACATAACATATACATATGTCCCTCAAATATTTTGTAAGTAAAGGAAAGGCTAACATTCTCTATCCCATCCAGGAAGATCTAGAACATCCTTCTTCTTCCAAAAAAAATTGGAAGTCTAGTTTTAGGCTGAAACTCCATAACGCAAACAATGTGAAGTGATGATCATAGAGATGCTGGCACTGCTAGAAATATAAAAGAAACAGCTGCCATGCTTTAAAACCACAGTACACTGTAACTCCCTTTCAAAGAGTTGATAGACAAACAATAGATCAAAGTCCAACAGGATTCCCATGCTACAGGGAGGAAATCTTCCATTTCAGATGAACCTAAGATGAAAACAATGCAGTGAACTAAACTACTTTCCACAGATGAGAGAAAGAAGAGTAACCTAAGAAGCATAACTGCTATTAAACACACACATCTAACTCAGGTGTTGCCTTCTGGCATTTTTGTGTGTGTTGTTTATTATTCATCTTTGTAGTTTAGTCACTATAAACATTGATGATAATTATCTTAAAAGAAAATAAGCTTTTTATGCTGTCTTTAGACAACATTAGTTTTCCCTCTTCCTTTAAATTGTAAACCACACTATCTAAACTCTCACCACAATGAGAAATATAATCCTCTTGAGCTGAGTAAAAATGTTTTATCCAGGAGGTGATACTCAAAGCTACGGTAGTTTCTAGTTTTGCATAAAGGCCTTTCTACTCAACTATTTAGAATTCTTTCATTTTTATGTTTTGAATTATCATGCAAATTCCACTCCAGTCATGTGCAGCAACTAAGATCTCCTGCAATATCAAATGTCAACAGTTCAAGAAAACCCACATTAGACACATGTTGAAGGAAAATTATGCCCTGTGCAGATTTCACCTGCTGGATTGTGGTTCATGCTTTTATAAAATCATTTAAAACCATCTGTGTATGAATGTGGTTCCTCTTTTCCAAGGATGTGGGAGTTTACCACTACCACCACAGGAAAGCAGAGTGGGATGCCACAAATCTGCATTAAATAGGTCACAATAGCCAATAAGAGGAAGAATATTAAGACATTAAAAGTCTGGTTTTCTCCCTCTCCCTGGAAAGAATTTCTCAGACCACTGTGTTAAAGGCAATCCTACCTGGAGGTACATACAAAGTATTGCTCTGCAGGAGATTACTTCCCCAGAAATAATTTTAAACAAATAATAAATAAATGAACTAATTAGTTTGAAATACATGCATTTAAATCCATTTTATGGCCATTTCAATTACTACTCCTTCCATACTTTTGTTTAAAGCATGTTTAAACAGTTAAAAAAATGAATGAATGAATGAATGAATGAATGAATGAATGAATGAATGAATGAATGAATGGCATAAGGAAAAATGTACAGGAAGACACACTTACCATAATGTTAAGAAGACATCATTGTTTACTGGAACTTTTTAAACAGATCAGAAATGCACAATTATTTCTGGGCCAAGATATTTAAGTGGAATCACCTTCCAAAAAGCAATTGATGTGACCAGGAGAAAAATTAAATTTGTGTTTCACTTGCATTTGCATTTAATTAAAATTAAACATAGTTAATATGACTACTAACCAGACATGTATTTAATACATTTCCTCTTCTGTTGCCTAACTATTTGGCTCTACCTGATATTATGTAATTTAGCATTTTATTTTCCTGGTTAGAATCCTGTTTGGAAGCAACAGGTCAACATTGCAGACACTGGTTAGCTGAATTTATGAATGTGCTAAAACAGACCAATAGTTATTACTAAAGCCCCTCTTAGATGTAACTTAAGACTGGTTCAAATAGTATGCTTCTGTGGCCAAACTCCTTTTTTACTTTTGTAGCCGTTCCAAATGTGCTGATTCTAGAGTCCCCATATTCTACAGCTTTCTCCAATGAGGGCTTTTTAGGGATGTTAAATTATAACCTCCATCACCTCTAGCCAATATGGACATTTTTAGCATATTAGTGCTTAGGCTGGAGGGCAGCCAATTAATAATTAGATTTGCATACATGATTCACATGCTTCCAAAATTCAGTGGGGGTTGTCATTGCAAGTTCATGCATCTTTGGCTTTTGTTTTCTAAAGTTATTTTATCATATATCCAAATATATTCATTGTTAAATGAGAAGCCACTGTAGAAGTGCATCACTAACTGTATTTGAGACAGAAAAGCAATTTTCTCTCCCAGACCAAACTCAAAAAAAATGTAGTCTTTGTGTTTCTAGCCCAATAAGAGGCAGTACATTGTGTTTTGACAATCACAAAC